AAATACTCAAGATAGATTTGTGTACCAGGTGGGCTCCTCTGGCTGCCCAGTGAGTAATAAACTGCAGTGGAAGCAGTGGAGACCACAGGGGCCCAGCCAGGTGGTGTCTGCAGCAGGGAGAAGGTGGTAAAACCAGGTGGTGTCTGTGGCAGGGGAGGTTAATAGGATGGAATGAGTTTTGTGGGCTATGAGGAAGAGAGATGTCTGCCTTGGTGTTCAGTCATGTGTGGTACAGCATGGTGGTGGCAATGCAGCTAGCTGGGGAGGAGAGGGCAGGCTGGGTTTCTGTTGGGGAAGTGGAGTCAGCCATGTCCATGTGGCAGCCAGTCAGATGTCCAGTGGCCATTGTGGGGTGGGTGTGGAGCTCAGAAGAAAGGGAGCTCTAGATTAGGGTTGTGAGTCAGTAGCTTGACATGATATGAGGTCCCTGTGGCAACAGGTGGAAAAACCCCAAGACAGCCACACGTGAGGGGCAGGAGGAGGAGGGCCCTGCATGGGACTCTGGGACCAGGGCCAGAGCATAATTTGGGCCCTGGAGGAGCCAGGGTCATGAATTCCATGAGGAGGGAGTTGGTGATGTCATGGAAAGGGTCACGTAAGATCAGGTGTCATGTCATTAGGGCCTTGTGTTTGCAGTCCATCTCTCTTCTCTCAGTCTTATTTCTGTAAGCTAGGATGTCTTCAGTCTTTGGTCTCATGAGCAGAATTCTGGGCTAATCAATGCTGTGGCTCACTGGCCTCCTGTGCCCCGTCTCAGCAGGCACAGGCCCCTCTGTGCATTTCACTGGGACACCCTTGGGGTGGAGGTGCCCAGGGAGACCCTGACACTGCCTGGTACTCCATCTGTCCTGGTTAACACAGCAGCGGGCAGCCCCAGGGGACCAGGAGCAATTGGGCCATAAAGGCCTGACTAGTTTGTCGCTGTCTGCTCTGTCCCTGTAAAGTGGTATTTATGAAGTGGCTGCAGGCCCATGATGTTCTGTTGGCTACAGCATAAAATGTATGAAGCCAATTTGTACCTTTCCCTCTAGACATCCACAAACCAAATGAGGTACTTTAAGAACCCGAGAAATCAGCCTGTGCAAACACTTACTATTAAATGTTATGATAAATATTTTCCAGACCAAGTCTGAGGGTCATTGAAGCAGAACGTTTGAAACCAGAATGAAATTATTTCTGTTTAACATTTTTTCAACTGCAGCTCACACCAGCTAATTGGAATCCCTTGATCCGTGTGGCATTGATTGAAGGATAGGGTTAACATTTGCCAAGAACAGCCTTCACCCCATAATCTGCAGTGGAGGTTTAAGGGTAAGAGTTGCCCACCTGTCTGTCTTCTTGGCTGCAGAATGTTGAGATTTGTGGTGACGACTGAACATGGAGGTTTCATAGAAGTGGCCAGACTTGACAGACTGCCACAAATCCTAGCAGTGCAAATCTGAGCAGATGCCTTCATGTTTTGTGCCTGCACATTCTCGTCTGTGAGCAGAGATGGTCACGAACCTCTCTCCAGAGACTGGCTTGAAGACATCGTGTGTGAGTGGAGTGGAGCACCTAGGAAGTGTGTCAGATGTGATAGAATGTTCGCGCTGGATAGTAGGGTACTGAAGTTCATCTGAAGTGACTTGAATCCGGCTACTTCAGTCTTCTGTGCCAGAGTTGAGACAGGTCCTCAGCACCGTTGCAGGCATTTTCCGTACCAGATAGCTATGGGCATATTTCCAGGTGATGAAGATTGATGTGCAGGTTCCCCCTTTCATTTTGGGTAGCTCTGTAGGTTTCCGCAAAGCCCTCCTAAGGGAGAGCTCCATTTACTTTGACATTCTTCTGTTCCTCCCTGCAGGCGACTCCTCCCTCATCTCCATCCCCTCCAGTATCCACTAGTATGTTCTGAATCCCTGTACTTTGGACTGTTCTAGAATATTGAAAATGGAATTATTTTCAACTATAACTGGGATTCATTTCTCTCTCTCCTCCCCTTCTTCCCCCATGGATGTGGTGTGTGTGCAATGGTAGTCTGTTATTTTTGGTGCTGAGTGTACTCTATTATGTGGACCCACCTCTTGAGGGACTTTTGCGTTGCTCTCGTTTTTATTGATTATAGATAGAGCTGAGGAAAACTTTCACATGCAGGGTTTTTTGTGAACATAGTTCACAGAAACGCAGAAGTCTCATTGTAAGGAGTTGCCAAGTTCTTTCCTGGAGTTGCCCCACTGAGTTTGCGGTCAGACCTGCAGCATATGCAAACAGCACATTTTTAAGAGTTTTTGGAAGTGTGATGGATGTATTGGTACCTCATAGTGTCTCATTGTGTTTTTAATTTGTAGTCACCCTGAGCAAGCATCTTTTCAGTGCCTTTTGCCATCCATATATCTTCCTCGGAAAAGTGTCTTTTCAAGTCTTCTGCTCATTCGTTTTTTCTTTTTTTAAAGCAGGAAAATTGTTTTCTTATTTTTGAGTTTTTGTGTTATTTGTAAGTCCTAGGTGCAGATCTTCATCAGACAGTGCTTTGCAACTTCTTCTTTGTTATCTCACAGTCTGAGCTCTTTGTTTTGGGTGTTTTCTTTCACAGACTGTGCAGTTAGGATCCTATCTAAGAACTCTGTGCTTAACCCAGAGTCACAAGTATTTTCTTCCAAAAGTTTCACTAGCTCTAAGTTTCTCATTTAAGATCTGTAATGCCTTTAAAGTTAACTTTTTACTGAGAAAGGGAGGGAGGAAGGGTGGGGGAGGCGGGCAGGGTGAAGAAATGACCCAAACAATGTATGCACATGTGAATAAATGAACAACAGCAACAAAAAAGTTAACTTTGCTGGTGCACGAGGTATGGGATGGAGTTTATTAGTCAGTGATGCTGGGGGACTGTGTAGTATTGTTACAAATCCATTGATCATAGACAGTCAGGGTAATACATATATATTTTTTTATTCATATGTGCATACAATGTTTGGGTCATTTCTTCCCCCTTCCCCCACCCCCTCCCTTACCCTCCCCCCCACCTCACTACCAGGCAGAAACTATTTTGCCCTTATCTCTGATTTTATTGAAGAGAGAGTATAAGCAATAATAGGAAGGACCAAGGGTTTTTGCTAGTTGAGATAAGGATAGGTATACAGGGAGTTGACTCACATTAATTTCCTGTGCATGTGTGTTACCTTCTAAATTAATTCTTCTCGAACCAACGTTTTCTCTAGTTCCTGGTCCCCTTCTCCTATTGGCCTCTGTCACTTTAAAGTATCTGCATTAGTTTCTGTGCATTGAGGGCAACAAATGCTATCTAGGTTTTTGGGTGTCTTACCTATCCTCATATCTTCCTTGTGTGCTCTCGCTTTATCATGTGATCAAAGTCCAATCCCCTTGTTGTGTTTGTGCTTGATCTAATGTCTGCATATGAGGGAGAGCATACGATTTTTGGTCTTTTGGGACAGGCTAACCTCACTCAGAATAATATTCTCCAGTTCCATCCATTTACCTGCGAATGATAACATTTCATTCTTCTTCATGGCTGCATAAAATTCCATTGTGTATTAGATATCACATTTTCTTAATCCATTTGTCAGTGGTGGGGCATCTTGGCTGTTTCCATAACTTGGCTATTGTGAATGGTGCCGCAATAAACATGGGTGTGCAGGTGCCTCTGGAGTAACAGTCTTTTGGGTATATCCCCAAGAGTGGTATTGCTGGATCAAATGGTAGATCCATGTTTGGATTTTTACGTAGCCTCCAAATTTTTTTCCAGAGTGGTTGTACTAGTTTACATTCCCACCAACAGTGTAAGAGGGTTCCTTTTTCCCCACATCCTGACCAACACCTATTGTTAGTGGTGTTGCTGATGTTGGCTATTCTAACAGGGGTGAGGTGGCATCTTAGTGTGGTTTTAATCTGCATTTCCTTTATTGCTAGGGATGGTGAGCATTTTTTCATGTGTTTTTTGGCCATTTGAGTTTCTTCTTTTGAGAAAGTTCTGTTTCAGGGTAATATTTTTAAAGGGGGTTTTTGCCACTTGCTTTTGCAGAAGAGTGCTGTCAATTATTTATGGAATAAGCATAGTATTTTCCAGTGTTCAAAGTGTCATTCTGTTCTCTCTTTAACTTGGTTTTGAGTTTTAGTGCAATCCTTGAAGTATCTAATATGAGCCAGATTTCCTTCAGGGAGGTGGAGCTCAGCCTGGCACAAGGGATTATTTAGAGTCACAGGTAAAAGGTGGCACAGCCAGGTCAGGACACTTAAAATCAGGAGTAGGAAATAGCAAACGAAAGAGAGTTTCTAGTTTTTCCCAAAATGAATTTTGTTTCTAGCTTAGTTCAGTCCTAGCTGTGTGAACGGAGTGAAGTAATTAATGTCTCCATCTTTAGTTTCTTCTTCCAACTAACAAACTCCAGTTGGAGGTCTGGTAGAATTAAAGATGAAACGTGCAGGGTCCTAGTGCAGGGCATGGCAGGCAATTGGGTCCATAACTACCATTAATCTATTTTTTGGACATGTGCGTTTTTGGGAAGATACAGAATATGAATGTAGGAGATAAGGTTACATAAGAGCAAAATGATTCATAGCTAAGGAAAAACAGATACAGGGGAAGATTTTTGGAATAGAACAAAGCCACCATGTCTTAATTGTTGAATGTGGAGTGCTCTAGATGATTTCACACAGGAGTCTTCTTGGGAACAGGTCTTCTTTGGTTTTGTGAGTAGTTACGATTAAAGGAGAAAAACCACATAAAGGTTCAGCTCAAAGTATAGTCCCTTGGCCTGCAGGTGATAAATGTTGGTTTCTGATGCTATTACTTTTATTATGTGGCAACACAACCATATAAGAAATGACCAATTTCTTGGATCAGAGAATTTTTTTCTTTGCTCTGTTTTCAGTGTGGTTAGCCTTCAGCTCCTTCTGGAAGCAATCCTTCTCTTCTTGACGTTCCTGTGTTCTTCACAGGAATTGTGAGTTTATATTAACCACTACCAGCCTGCATGTAGTTCAGCCTTCTATTTTCTGGTTTGCAGGGGTCAGCGCTGAAATACTTGCCCACGATTGTCAACGATGTGAAGTTGGTGTTTGATCCCAAGGAACTCAGGTAATTAGCACCGAGGGGAACATTTGCCATGCACAGATGCTTGTTAATATGCCTTGTTTGTGGGATGCTCTGGGTTTTGTCTCCTGTCTGCATCAGTTCGTGCTCTGACCATTCTGGCATGTATGCTGCTGGATGTCATGGTGACTTTCTTTGCGAACGGTATCACCTGGCAACAGCCACAATGATATCCTTAGAAGAAGATGGTTTATGGCCTGATGGGAACGTGGCAGACATTTGGCATTTTTCACAGTTCAATATTTATGTTTCAATATGTGGGCTTTGGTTTTGTTTTAATTTTCACTGCCTAAAAAACTTAGACGGAAGCTTCCCTAATTCCTGTGTCGGCCCCTTCTGTATAACACATACAGCTTCTCTCCCTGAGCTACTGAGTGAGGGGCTCAGAGCCACAGGCAGAAGGATCAGAAGTTGTCATATAAGAAAATATTTAAACACAAGAAAACAAAAACCAAATGTGAGAGAGGTGTCATTGGACTTTTAGACTTAGCAGTGAGACTGGGGATAAAATCCTTCTTTTTAGCCCCCACCTGTCCACCCCTCAGTGTCCACACCCAGTGTTTGCTGTGTAATGTGGGTGCTGCTTCTCTCTGGGAAGTGGTGTTGGGAGCACTGGGATGCAGATGCGTGGTCTCTGCAGCCACAGGTTAGTCTAATAGCACAGCGCTCATCTGCTTTTAGCTTTGGTTTTGGTTTAACGCAGTGAACTACCTGCCTGGGGTGGCACCGTTTGTACCAGCTCTAGAAGAACTCCTAAATACTAGTCATAGGCCGTCTCTCCCGACTGCTTTAACTGGAGAAAGGGTGGTCATCTTTCCCGCACCTTATGTCCACCCTTGGTCACTCATGCCTGGAATCGAAGGCTGAGGCTCTGTTTCTGATATGTCTGCGACTCGATATACAGCAGGGACATATTTATTTTCTGTTCCTGGGGTGTGACAACATAGTTACGCTTAGCAGGCCCTAAACAATAAATGGAGGAACAGATGGGCCCTGGGCAGTGTGTCTGCCCACTCACGTCTCTGCAAAGTCTCTTCCTTGGAGCATAGTTTTTAGAGCAGCATGGGTGCCCTCAGAAATTGTTAGAAAAACTATATCCCAAATTTGAATTAGAAACCAAGCCCATGCATTTGGTCTTAGGGCCTTCCTAGGACATCCAGTGTATATATGAGACATTCAGGGTTGGAGATTGAGAGGAAATAGAGGACCTGTTTGGTGTGGACTGTGGCTATAGTCTGGGACTCTTTCTTCTCACTGGGCTCTGGGATCAGCCACTTGCCCACAGAGAGGCACCAACGATGCTCACAAATTGGCGCTTGTACCATGTGCTTGGAGTTCCAAGGAAGTTCTGCTTCTCCAGGGCTGTGTTCCCTGCTTCTTCCCTCTGTCCTTTGTGCATATATGACTGTCCTCAATGTCTTTTGTACTGATTTATGTATATGTCTTTTCCTACTGAGAAAATCAATTCATATTTTTAGAAAACAAGTGATCATAGAAGAAAATAACTCAAACTTTAGTCCATTATCCAAAAAATAATCTGAAAGATCTGGATCCTAACACGTGTGTGCACACACACACAAACCTGAGAAGGTCAGCATTCTTTTCTTCATGACCAGACGGTGCACTTAAGACATCTTGTTTTCTATGTCATGGGGTCCTCTTCTGCATCGTAATTATTACTAACTGTGATTGTGCACGGTTCTTTGCTGGCACATCATTTATTTAAGCTGTAGCAATAGACATGACATCTATTATGTGTTTCCCCATACAAAATGAGCTTTACGCAAACCACTTCCCATGTATTAGCCAGCTAATCGTTACTACAATGGTTTGACATTGGTTCTATTTTTAGGCAAAATTTGCTCATCCATGATAACTCAGCTGCTGAGTGTCTGGTTCAAGGCCACGTTGGGCTTTTTGATTACAAAGGACGGGCCTCTCACCATTAACCTACCTGAGGGATACTAGATTGTGTCCATTTTTTTTTTAATCATTATATCATATGGGAGGGTAAAATATTCTGTAACTTAATTGCTGGAAATGCCTGTTTTTTATATTATTAGGATAATCAAAGAGGTGGAATACTCGTTCTTACATTTTTTTAAAAAGATTTTGAGTAAATATTATCTAGTTATCCTCTGAAAGAGCAAACCAGCATTCTATCAGTACATTTTGCTATCTGTTTTCCCAAACTTTGCCAACAGTAGGAATAAGCATTACATAGAACTTTACAAATATGACCGATGAAATAGTTTCTTATCATTACAATTTGTATTTCTTCAGTTACTAATAAAAGGTCTTTTTAATATTCCATCATGGGTCTGTCAAACAATTGTAAAAGTAAAATTTTAAAACAGCTTCATTTAGAAATTATTCCCAAACTACAAAGTCAGGTGTTTTTTAGAGTGTTCAGTTCGATGATTTTTAGTATATTTGTAAAATTGTGTAGCTATCACCAGAGTCCAGTTTTATAGCATTTTTATTATCTCCAGAAGATCCCTTGTGCCACTCATTTTCCATCCTCTGCCCTAGACCATCACTGAAGTATCACTAGATTTATCTTTTCTGTGCATTTCGTAGAAATGGGATCATACAATACGTGGCTTCATTTATCATTGTGTTTTCAATGCACCTGCCTGTTGTAGTAAGGGTCATTGTACTTCCTTTCTTTGTATGAATTGTGCGGAATACAGTATTTTGTTTTTCCATTTTTCAGTTGATGGATATTTGGGTTGTTTCTACTTTTTGAGTACTGTGAATCATGCTTCTTTGAGTCATGTACAAATTTTCATGTGAATATTTATTTTCTTATTCTTTTTGAGTATATACCTAAGAATTGAAATTGCTGGGTCATATAGTAACTGTGTTTAACATTCTGAGGCAATGTCAAACTGTTCCAAAGTGTCTGCACCAGTTTACATTCCGGCCAGCATGGTATGAAATTTCCAGTTTCTTTACACACTCCCCAACACTTTCTATTCTCTGTCATTTGAATTATAGCTATGTTAGTGGTTATGAAGTACAATAAATAATAATTTAAACCGTTTTTTTTTTTGGGGGGGGGATAAAATTTTGGTCAATATTGTATAAGGGGTTTTACCCAATGTGCTGGTGGCATTTCATGACTATTAAATGGCTTTGGGTCTCAGAACTGCCTTAGGTCATTGGATTGTGAATTGCTGAATTGTGTCACTTATGTTTTTCCTCATAGCAAAATGTTTACTGATTTCATCCTTAATGTCCCCACGGGTTTGCTGACCATTCAGAAGCTCTATTGCTTGATCGAAATCGTTCACAGTGACCTCTTCACACAGCATGGTGAGTGCAACCCCTGAAAATTATTAAAGTGTCACACAACTCCTTGTCTACAGGTGTGGCCCTTCTCAATTCTCTCCTACTTGCCCCAAGGACTGGAGATGGCACCCAGTTCAAACAGGTCCATTGCAAGACAGGGAGAGAGAAGGAGTCTTGCAAGAGAACAGTAATGACAAACAGTGTTGGTAATAGATCATTGAAAAGCAAAGGCCAAAGCCTGTGATTTGTAATTTCGGTGTACACCTGAGCCCGAAGATAATCAGTGTACATTGTAGCTTTTAAAATGTATGATTGTCTGTTCTGGGGAGGCAATCACTTGCTACCATTGAGATGATTACAAAGAAAAAAAATATCAAGTTTTCTTTAAATTTAGAAGTAATGGTTCTGTCCTGTTCTGCACTTGGTATTCTTTCACAGGGTTGCTTCAAACTCTGCTCAGATTAGTACGATTCTAATGACCCCACAACTCATTTGTCCCAAGGAACACTGTATATTTCCTTACATTATCTCCCCACCCTTTTTATTAATAATTTTCTTTCTATTTGGACAGTTTAATTAATATTTTATACTTGTCATACAGTTTTATTAAAAGCCTGAAACCTTTGTATAATTCTTCAACCTTCCTCATTTTTTGGAGGCAAATGTGAAGTCTGTAAGTCGGCATCCTGACCGAGCAGTGCAGATCTGTCCTCTCCTACTGGTGTTCAGACATTGGGCATGTCATCATTTCCTTTTGTCCCCTGTACTGTTTCAGTGAGGTGCCCTGAGGGTGGGGCAGGAGTCCCTGTTGTTACTCCTGGCTGGACTGAGAACTCACCTGGTGTCCGACTTAATCCCTGTGCTGCAGGACTGTGTTGGCCTGCTGATTTTAATCCTACTTCTTGGTTTAGCTTGTATAAAACGCACTGGAATGTACACTTGTTGCTATGGCTTATTTCAAGAGAAAACATTAAGACTTTGTCTGGGTGGGGGTGTACTTCTGAAGAGGAAACATCAAACCAAGAAGTGAGTGGTTTTCTGCAGGCCAACCACACAGACCTCCTGCTGGGTCAGAAGCCCACTTCTCACTTCTGTTAAAGAAAGCCCACTCTCAAATTGTCTGGGACTTGAACCATATGACTGTAAATGGACCAGTAATCCCCGACCATGAAATCCATATTTCAGGCTTTCACTAGAGAGTTTTTTTTTTTTTTTTTTTTTGTGGTACTGGGGCTTGAACTCAAGGCGTTCACCTTGAGCCACTCCCCAGCTGTATTTTTGTGAAGGATTTTTCAAGGTAGGGTCTCATGAACTCTTTGCCCTGGCTGGCTTCAAACCACAATCCTCCTGATCTCTGCCTCCTGAGTAGTTAGGATTAGAGGCGTGAGCCTCGGGTACCTGGCCAAGACTAGGTTTTTTTTTTTTTTTTCTTTTATTATTCATATGTGCATACAAGGCTTGGTTCATTTCTCCCCCCTGCCTCCACCCACTCCCTTACCACCCACTCCCCCCTTCCCCCAATACATTTTGCCCTTATTTCTAATTTTGTTGTAGAGAGAGTATAAGCAATAACAGGAAGGGACAAGGGTTTTTGCTGGTTGAGATAAGGATAGCTATACAGGGTATTGACTCACATTGATTTCCTGTGCATGGGTGTTACCTTCTAGGTTAATTCTTTTTGATCTAACCTTCTTTCTAGTACCTGGTCCCCTTTTCCTATTGGCCTCAGTTGCTTTTAAGGTATCTGCTTTAGTTTCTCTGCATTGAGGGCAACAAATGCTAGCTAGTTTTTTAGGTGTCTTACCTATCCTCACCCCTCCCTTGTGTGCTCTCGCTTTTATCATGTGCTCATAGCAAGACTAGGTTTTGACTGATCCATTCCCCAGGTGCCTTCCAAGGCCTGGGGACATATGGGCTTAAGGAAAGGATGTTAAACAGGTGATATTAGGGACTCTGCTTCTACGTCATTTTCATGGTGACCACCCAGAGCATATGAAGTCCTCGAGAGTTTTGTATCTAGGTTTTATAAGGTACATTATTACTGTTCCATCTCCCAGACATCCAGTGACAGTTTGACTACATGCATGCACACATACCCTCTCACTGCCACTGCCACCATCAGTATTTTCTCTGACTTAATAACTGTTGCCAAGTTAAAAAATTAGAGGTTCATGCCTCTGTTCCCAGCTGCTTGGGAGGTGGACATCTGGACAATTGTAGTTTGAGGCTCACTTGGGGTTGGGGGGTAGTTAGCAAGACCTCATCTCAACAAATAAGCTGCACTGTGTGTGTACCTGTAATCTCAGCTATGAGGGGGGCATAGGTAGGAAGACAACAGTTCAGGCTGGCTTGTACAAAAGTGCAAAACCCTATTAAAAAAATAACTGAAGCAAAAGGATCTTGGAATTCTGACTCACGTCTCAGAGCAACTGACTGGGAAGCAGAAGGCCCTGAGTTCAAACTCGGGTACTTCCAAAAACCCCCATACAAACAACAAAAGAGATTTTTCAAAGAACTAAGGCATTTTTTGGGACATAAGAGCATTCATCGCAAAGGGAATGTGCGGGCCATTGTGGAACTGTTGGTGTATTCAAAGGGTGGAGGGTTTACAGGGTGAGGGGATTGCATTAGATACTTGAAGCATTAATCTTTGGTCGTACAGTGGCTTCCGTCCAGGGTAGAGCAGAGACAGTTGCTAGGCAGATGTCCTTGTTGAATTAGTTTGTTTAAGGCTGTGGTAGCCTCTGTGCAGGCTTGTGGCTCTGCAAGAGTCTTTCTGATGGTTGCTGTCAGACAGTCATGCTCCAGCATCTCTCCCTCCTAACCTCACTGCTTGACTTACTGGTCTTTGATAGGGTTGACATGAGCAACTCCATTTTGATTTTGACAACTTTCATATTTCTTTCATGTTCTCCCCTTTTGATCAAGATTTTTCTCTGAAAACATAGTCATGCCATAGTTAGAATTTGTCTCTCATTGCTGGGATGGATGTTTCCTGATTGTTGGTCGAGTCCCACATTGGAGTGGGGAATGATTGGTGACTGGGAATCAGTGTCAAATGTTTGTAGCCACATTTAGCAATGAAGAGGTTATAGAAGTAGTGGGTCTCAGGTGAAGATCACTGGAGTCCATTGTTCAGTTCAGTTCTCTCTGTTCTGCAGGAGGTGTGTGTCACCGCAAAGCACTGCACCAGGTTATTTTGTTAGGAGTTTTACTTCCGCAGAATTTTGACAGGCAGCAGGTACAAGGTTTATAAAATGAGCTTACTTTTACCAGAAAATTGTACTTTAGAGTACTTAACTCTTTTTAAAAAATAAATCTGATTCCAAATGTTTGAAGAGGAATTAATACTTTTGATGGCAAAAGACTCAGGATAACCATGGTTAAAATTTGGTGAGCATTTAGCAATTGACAAGAGATGTTAGGTATTTTTATTGCATACAACATTTTGAGATAGCAGTCATGACTGAGAGCATTACACTGGGACCATCAGACTTTTGTAAATTTTACATAATCTGTAGAATATCTATATTAATAGTAATATCAAACATCACTACTCAGTAGTAGTCATTTACTTAGTCAGTTATGAGCCAGATTTAACTAGAGGTGTAATCACTCGTGAGACTTAAAACAAATAGATGCTTAAGAAACCTTAACTCTGTTAAGATTCTGTTTTTTCTAAGCAAATAAGCTAATAAAGACAGCAGGAATTATCTTGATAAAACATTAAGTCTTTCTTCCCTAAGCCAGTTTTTATAACTCTTACCAAGAACAGATCAATATGTTAAGAAACTCTTGCTGCTTTAAAGATAGAGAAGTAGATTCTGGTTTTATGTCAGTGTGTTAATGTTTAATTCTTAAAACAGCCTATATTTTAAAAAAATTATACCTATCTTGAATGCACATAAATTTCCTTTATGAGATTTGGCCTTCGCAAATGTTCTGTGGCTTCCTTAGCACCATGGCAGTTGGTTAAAGTCTTTAGTTTTGCTCCATTATTCTTTTTTTCCCTTTTGGAACAATCCAGCCATTCTACTTTTGAACAAAAATTTTTATTTTGCCTAAAAATCATGTTTCATTCAAAAAACATCTTCTAAACCCTTCTCAATGGAAATACACTCTTGTTCTTTAGGACTTTTTTTTTCTTTTGTATTTCTATGCACTTCACTCTTTTCTGTCTTGTTTGCTTTCTCACATTTATACTTTAAAATATTCTTTAATAATCTTCAAATTTAGATAAAATCGATCCTCTTTTTATTAGAAAATATATTTGTCCTTTCATGTTTTTTTCTTACTAAATCAAAACAAATGTTAATATTTCCTGTATTTTTGTGGTGGTACTAGGATTTGAACTCAGGTTTAAGAAGCCAAGATCATTTTAATTTCTATTTAGAAACATTTATTTTATCTACATTTACCTCATTTACTTATTTTTAGTGATTATTCCTAGGTTAGTTATGAAAACTGAGATAGCATTTAAACATAGTCATTATTTAAATTTTTTTGTTAAAGAAAAACTATAAGCAGTAAATTGCTGTACTTTACACACAGTTAGTAGTGGACCCTCCATTGTATTCTTTTTTGTGTATTTGTTCTTAGATAAAATTTATACTATTATGATCTTAAACATCTAACAGAGATAAATACAACTCTGTCTAACTATGAAATCCAGACAAAAATGTTGGCTAAAAATTCTGAAGACAACTTTATTTTACCAACAAATTCATGAGATACAGTAATGTAGCCAAATAAATTTTCCAGTTTATAGAATGACAGTTGAATCAAATTACATTTATGAATAAATGGAGATAGTTAAGGCCACCCATTCATATAGCCAGACTTTTTAATTTTTATTTACAGTTTTATGAAGGGTGTGGATCAAATTTTCAGGTAAGGCTGTTTCCATAGTAGTGTGGTTTTTACAAGTCTCTTTTGATAGCCTGTTGTCCTTCGCTGCTTTTCATCCTCAAAATGAGTCAGGAGTTAAGTATTACATGTTTGGATTTTAGCTATGACTAACTGAA